CCATCAACCTTGTGGTCCACACTGATTTTGCAATCTAGCACATTAACCCTAGCGCCACACCAGGACTCTCATGCTTTCCAAGTACCTTAGAAATTGGACCTAAAATGTAAAAGAGCTCATAAGTAACTGCTTAAGATTTATTTTCACACTGAGCTTTAAAAGAAAAGCCCATGAAATAATCGGTGTGCAGATCCCATTGGTGTATTGTGTTAGTCAGAGGTTTCTCAGCTTTGCAATGCAGGGATCAGAAATACAATTTCATGAGTGTCGAGGGTTATGAAAAGGCGTTCTGGTAGCACTGTGTGTTAAGCTTTGGGGTAACTGCAAGATTGGTGGTTCACAGCCATCAGCCTCTCTGCAGGAGAAAGATGAGGCTGTCCCCTATATAGGCTCTGTAAGAGTCGAAATCGATTTGATGGCAGTGGCTGGTGAGTGCTGAACACTTACAGTGACATGTAGAGTTTGGGACTGACCCCAGGTTACAGATGAGGAAATGTTACACAGGAAGTAACTCATGAGCCAAGTTTGAATCCAGGTTATGCTGAACACAGACTCACATCCTTTCTTCAGTATTGCCTTTTAGGAATCTAAGAAGAGAGAAAAAGTAAGAGAAAGTTGAGGAAAATGAGCTAACATTTCCTAAGGAACTGCTATGGAGATATTATGAAAGGTAACGAAACACACCAGTAGTAGTAGATTCCGTTTCAAACAGCGAGTAGTGAACAGCCTTTCAAGAGCAGTGTTCTGGAGAGCCACATAGTAGGCATCCTCTTCTGCATCCCTTGTTTTCTATATTTATGTCAAACATTATGCCTTTGAAAGTGCTCTGAGAAGTTTCAGCCATTGTAGATAGTAATACAGGCTTTTGTTTTGTTTTGTTTTGTTTTGAGTGTTCAAGTAATTATAAGAAACCATGTCTACCCTCTTACAAACTCATTGCCATCGCATTGATTCCACCTCATAACAACCGTCTAGGATAGAGTGGTGGTGGTGGTGGTGGTGATGTGCCGAGGAGTCGGCTCTGACTCGGAACAACCCTGCACAGGGTTTCTGAGGCTACAAATCTTTATGAGTAGGAAGCCTCATCTGTCTCCCACAGAACGGCTGGGAATTTCGAACTGCTGACTGTGATATTAGCAGCCCAGCTCGTAACCACTACGCTACCAGAGCTCTTTATAGGGTAGAGGAGAAACCATAATTTTCTAAGGTTTCTGAGGTAATCTTTATGGAGTTCTGGTGTGGCGCTGTGGGTTGATACGCTGGACTGCAAGGTCGTTTTTAACCACGAAGTCTGTGGTTCAAGCTCACCAGCTGCTCCTCGGAAACCCTATATACAGGGTCACTATGAGTCAAAACCAACTCGACGGCACTTAACAATTTTCATGGAGTCCAGGTGTGGTGCTACAGGATAATGCACTGGGCCACAAGATTGTTCAAACCTACCAGCCACTCCTCAGAAACCCTATACAGGGTCACTATGGGTCAGAAATAACTCTGTGGCACTTAACAACAACAGTAACAATATATATAGCAGCAGACCATGTCTTTTTTCCCACAAAGCAGATGGTAGTTGGTTATGTGATGCGGAGTCGGTTCTGACCCATAGCGACCCTGTACAGGGTTTCCAAGGCTGTAAATCTTTACGGGAGCAGAAAGCCTCATCTTTCTCCTGCAGAACAGCGGGTAGTTTCGAACTGCTGATCTTGCGGTTTGCAGCCTGATTCGTAACCACTACGCTACCAGAGCTCCTACAAAGCAGATAGTGGGTTTGAATTGCCAATCTTTGATTTAGCAGCCATGCTCCTAACCATTGTGCCACCAGGGTTTCTTGGTAACATAGCTTTGAGACTTTTAGAAAGAAATATTGAACGTCAGTTTTTTGTGCTTCGGTTTTAATATTACAGGTGATAAATTAGGAAGCTCCTGTTAGATGCTATAAATCGAAGACAATCACAGTGATGTACACAAATAAGACTGGTGTGATCCTTTGTGGATTCAAATTTTTTTGGTTATTTTTAAATATGGGATGTTGGTATTGAGTAAATTGATGCCTTTTCTCTGTCTGTTTCATTAGTTGTCTGGAAGTCAGTAGGAGGAAGACTTATGAAATTTAGACCAGACTCAAAGTAGTCTCCTTGCCCTCTTGTCCCCCGCTCAGCCTACTCTGCTCTTCTGGTTAGAAAACAAATTCTCTGTTGTCAGTCAGAGCCTCATTGCAATCTGGTGTGTCATAGGACTGTGCCCCACAGTTGTCAGTCGCTGATTGTTCACAAGCAGACCACCAGAGCTTGCTTCCAAAGCAACCTCTGGCTGGACTTGAACCTCCAACCTATTGATTAGCAACTGAGCATTTGCATTAACCTGTAAAGGCTTACAGAGTCCTGATATGACACTATAGGACAGGCACTGGATTTCGAACCCCAAGGTGAGTGGTTCAAGCCCAGCAGTCACTCCTCAAACCAGGTACAGGGTCGACTTGGAGCCAACTTGACAACACTTAACAACAGCAACAACATAAATGCTTACAGCAGGTGAAAGGTGTTGTGTCTCCATTGTAGAACCCCAAGTCTCAGAAATGACGGGTGCGTATGTGTGCTCCCGTTTCTAGATATGCTCCGTCCAGTTCACCAAGAAAACTTAGGCATCTAGGAGTAGGACAGGAGCATGAGCGAGATGTGAAAGACAGAAAGATAGTTTATTTTAACTCCCGTTTTGCAGTGAACACAAAAATCCATTTTGAAGCATGAATTATTAGTAAGCATTTTTCTCAGCAAAGCATTCTCCTCTCACTTCACTTCTGGTGCCATCGGCTGACCAGCTTGCTCTTAAAAGCTGCAGCACTGTTTAAACTCACTGTGTTTGGTCCTTAGCCATTTATTAGGTCATTGTCATCAGACCTAAAGTTTCATCTCCTGATTGGGGAAGGAGAGACAAGACCACAAACAAGCAGGTAACCCACCCACCCACTGCCATGGAGCCAATGCCAACTCCCAGCAACCCCATGAGACACAATCTAACTGCCCCATAGGGTTTTTGACGCTGCACTCTTTGGACAGCACACATATGAAAATTGGAACCCTATAGAGAGATTAGCATGCCCCCTGCACAAAGATGACATGCAAATTCATGAAGCAGTCCACATTTTTTTGGAGTCCTGGTGTGGCACTGTAAGATAAAGGTGGACCACAGGTCGGCAGGCAGTTCAAACCCACCAGCAAGCAGCTCCTTGTGTTGAATGATATATATAGAAGAAGTGACAGCTTTTTAAAGTGTCTCTGTCCCAACAACCAGGAGAACGTGTTACCTCCTGTGTTCTAGTGCAGTACTCCAGCTCTCATGTGCCTGTACGTTACCTGAGGCTCTTGTGAAAACACAGGTTGCCGTTTAGTAGTTCTGGGGTGGGGCTGAGAGTCCTCAGTCCTAACAAGCTCCCAGGTGGAGCTGTGGGTACTGCCCCACGAACCACACTTTTGAGTTGCTGGGCTCTACACCTTGCAGCCGATACGGTAGCCCTGGGCCCCATGTGGCTACTGAGTAGTTAAAGGGTAGCAAGTTCAAACATGCTTTGTGAATTCTTCACACAGGATTTTGAAGCCTTTTACACAAAATCCCTAAAATATCTCAATAATTTTTAGGATGGTTTTGTATCGAAAGGGATAGTATTTGGCTAAACTATAAATTGTTGTTGAGTGCCTTCAAGTTGGTTCCAACTCACAGCAACCCTGTATAGGGTTTCCAAGGAGTGACTGATGAATTTGAATCGCTGACCTTGTGGTCCAGTGCATTATCTCACAGTACCACACCAGGACTCCAAACTGTCAATGTTGTGAAGTTCCATTGAGTCGATTCTGACCCATAGTGAAACCCTGTATTATAGGGTTTCCAAGGAGCAGCTGGTGAGCTTGAACCACGGACCTTGCAGTTCAAACGACTTTGCAATCTGATACATTAACCCACAGCGCCACACCAGGACTCCAAACTATAAATAAGCTATATTAAAATTCATTTTTCATCAGTTTATTTTTAATATATTTAATGTGACCTATTGACAGTATTGGAGTCCTGATGTGGGGCTGCAGGATAATGCACTGGGCCGCAAGGTCAGCGGCTCAAACCTACCGGCCGCTTCTCTGAAACCTGTACAGCAGGGTCGCTAAGAGTCAGAATTGACTCAGAGTCACTTAACAACAACAATATTGACAGGGTTATGTTCCAAAGACCAGGTTGTTTTTAGGTGCCATCGAGTCGGTACTGACTCATAGCGACCCTATGTACAACAGAACAAAACACTGCCCGGTTCTGGGCCAACCTCACAATTGTTGTCACTCTTGAGTCCACTGATGCTGCCACTTTGCTAGTCCATCTCGCTGGGGGTCTTCCTCTTTTTCTCTGACCCTCCACCTTACCAAACATGATATCCTTCTCCAGCAAAAATCAGTGTTATACAAAAATGGAGGATTTTTTTCTTTTGTGTTTTCAGACAACCCATTTGTCTGATATCTTTTATTTAGAAAATATGATCTTAGAAATAAAACAGCTATAATGTACTGGTGTGTTCATCACTGTGACGTGTCCATTTATGGATTCTTCTTCTGTGGATGGATGCTTGGAGGAGACAAAGGCGAATAAAACCGGGCTGTGTCATTTCACCTTCCTCCTGTGGTACGTCCGAGCTTCCCTCGCAGAGCCACCTCCAGGGCTCCACTCCCACCCCTACAAGCCCTTCATGATCATGGGCTTCCTTCAAGGGTACTGAGACCTTGGCTGCCCACCTGGCCCCACTGAAACAGAGGCTTCAGGCCTTGTTGAACTCTCTTTGAGATGGCGAGAAGCTCACAAGCAGTTCCTCCAAACACCTGCCCAGTGCCTTTCTTTCCTCCCCTCCCACCCCTCAGCAGTTTTGAGGTAAGCTGCAGGGCCTCAAACTGCACAGGAGCGGGGAACCCAGAGTAGGCACCAGCTGGTTTATTTAGTGCTGCCCGCATGGCCATGCAGAGGTCATGGCCATGGAGGAGGTCAGCCTCCCCCCATCCCCACCCCCACCTGACAGCAGCAGGAATGGAAGGCACAGGACAGCGTGGCCCACCTTCTCCAAGGCTGCTGCCCGGAGACCCTCCTTGAAGGAGAAGATGCTCTGCGGCCGTACATCCTAGCCACTGCTTTGTTGCTGTATAAACTAGCCAGAGAGTAGATTTGTACTACTGCCACAAATGTGGAACGTCAGGTGACGAGATGGTTGATAAAGTGAAGAGTCTGTGTACTAGATGATTTAGACTTCCACAAGTGGCTTGCATCATGTTTCTACTGGACAATACGATGCTTGTTTTCAGACGTCCCCATTTCTGGGAGCACAAATCAATGTTCACTGAGTTTTTCTCCCCTCTACATGATGTCCTTCCCCTCCCACTGCATTCCTTTAACCCTTTTTGATCTCTGTCTTTACCGTCATCATCCAGTGTGTCGGTCAGACAGTCTAGCAGTAGCATACAGAGTCCTTAGCTCTTCCACCCAGAGTGTGGTCCACAGGCCAGCAGCCACAGCCTCATCTATGTTTCCAAATGCAGACTCTCAGACCCCATCCGGAGCTGCAGACCCACTGTTGAACGAACTCCCCAGGAGCCTCGTGTGTACATTAAGATTTGAACGTGTGAGGTTGGGTGCTGTGGTGTTCAGCAATCTCTTCTTCCAGAATCCCATTTCAGTTCATCTCCATGTCTGTTCCTTAAAATTAAGATTCTGCAAGGGTGATACATATTCACATTGTAGTTAAAGAGAAATTGGTACTCTTCCTATATACAAATCTTTAACAGGGATTTTTAGACAGATGCTTCGAGAAGTTGAATCCTGAGACTAAAAGCTTAAGCTCTCCTGAAAATCAATTCAAAAGTCCCCTTTCCCCACTGCAAAGCCACCCAAAGAAAGGCATGAGCACCCCATTACCTCTCTCCAGAGCATCAGAGCTGTTGCGGCAGTGGGCCTCCATACCTCACGTTGAAACCTGCCACTTGGTGTGCTCCCGTCCCCGGGCTGTGGGGTAGCGCTGGACACGCCGTCCCCACAGCACGACTCGACTCGAGGAGGGAATAGCTGCTGGCGAGATCCAAGCACCCAGGAGAAACACAGAAGAGTATAACACGCACTCCGGGTGATTTGGGGGCATACTGGTACAAAACCCTGGGTTACTGATTCGTAACCACTACGCTTCCAGAGCTCCTTGGCACATAATGTTGTAGTTGTTAAGTGCTGTCGAGTCGGTTCCGACCCATAGCGACCCTGCATAGCGTTTCCAAGGAGTGATTGGTGAGCTTGAACCACTGAGCTTGTAGTTCAAATGGCTTTGCAGTCTGGCGCATTAACTCACAGCGTCACACCAGGACTCCAGGCACAGAATAGTAGGTGTTTAAAATAATATGTTGAACAAATTAACATTCCCTTTTATAAAAAGGTCTCAGACCTTCTATCTCAAATGTAACCAAGTTGAAAGAGACTCAGACGATGAGAGCAGCATTAGCCTAAACAAACTTGGGTTGGCTGTTTGGTACGGAAGTCTTCCCCCCACCCCCACCCCAAACAAAGGACAAGTGGAGCTGAGGGGACGCCAGGGCAGGGCAGTAGGAGCCCACACTCCCAGAACAGAATTGGGGCCAGGCCATCCTGACTCCTGGCTTCCCCTTCCCAGCGCTCCTTTCTCCCATTTTCCTTGCTCTCTTTTAATGTCAGGATGAGCTATAATTTGAGCTGCCTTTATTGTTCCCCAAAGACTTTGGGTGGCTCTGTGGGTCTCACAAAACCTGAAATCCAATCAGTATCCTCCTCTGAGCTTTAGGGAAGTGGGACCATGGGTGTGTTTGTCATTTTTAGCAGTCATTGGAGTAGGGCCAACACTCCAGGAGATACTGGAATCGTCTAGAATCGTCTGATTGGCTGTTGCAATTAGCTGATAGACAAAGCAGCCGGTCACTGAGCACCGGGGACCTTCAAGAACTCCAGTTGGGTGGGAGACCTTCCAGCGTGTCTGTCAGCTCCAAAGTAGGACAGAAAGAGACAGACTGGAAGCACAATGGGCTAGTGACAAAGCTGCTGATGAAAACACTCTGCTCCCCCGTCCTTTGTCTGGGGGTCTCGCCTTGCCTCAGTCTTGCTCCCTTTCTTTGTGGCTGCTGTCCTGCCTGGGCAGACACGCTAACTAACGGAAGACAAACCCCGAGAGAGGCTCTGGGCTCCTGTTGTATAATGAGCCCTACCCAGGGACCAGGAGCTGGCTGGCTGGTACACAAAGGAATTCTGTTCTGTGGATTGAAAGCAGAAACAAGGAGGGGCACATTTTGGGCATGGACTTCGTTTCATCCCCTTAGTCACTGAGAGAGGAGCTGACTCTTTGTTGGAGAGAGTTTAAGACAAAGTGCTGGTGTTTCGCCTTTCTGAAGACTTCCACGATTTTTCAAATTGCTAAACAAAACCAATTTTTAAAGCACCAGGCATTTTCACACTCTATTTCAAAATCTATTCCTTCTCAGCCACGGGGTACCTGACCAGCAGTACCTTCACCATCACCCCCTGGGACTCACACACAGGGAACGCCCTCTTTAAAGCAAAGGGATGGTTTAAAGACTGCCCTGCCAGCCATGGAATAGAAAAACAGTGTTCGCTTCAGGCTCAAAAAGTATTCCCTTTCCTTCCCATAGAAACAGAGATGAAGAATACTGTATTGTCATACTAAAGCTGACTGGGATCATCCCTTTAGCAGCTGTACTGACTGCAAAGCTAGACTCAGACCCTGGAAGCAAAAGAAAACCCACACATTGACAAGGAAGCAGTGCTGAAGATCTGACTTACCTGCCCTAATGGTGCAGCTGGTTAAGCACCAGGCTACTAACCTTAAGGCCAGTGGTTTGAACCCACTAACTGCTCCCAAGTTATATCTGCTTTTTAAAAGTTATTATCTTCGGAAACCCCATGGGCAGTTCTCGGAGTCGATAAATCAACTCAGTGGCAGTGCTTGCTTGCTTGGTTGGCTGCAGATCTGGTGGGCTCCGGAGGTGTTAGCACTCACACCTGAGTGCACGCATGGTGACCTCCTTGAGTGGAGGTGAAGTTACCTGAGAAGTGAATTCAGATACACTCCAGTTCCTTACCTGGGTCAGAGACCCACTGCCTTGAGTAGAATCGACAAGGTTTCAAATGATAGACGCAACTGTGGGGCCTCATCGGAAACCACTGTACGGAGAGAAAGGTGACGAGTCCGCTTTCCTTGCTGGCATAATCCTTAATTAAGGAGCGTGAGGCAGTTGTCACATGGATAGTTCTCCAGATGCACCTGGGGGACTGAGACTGGGCTGAAAATCAATCCCCAGCCCTTTCCTGAACACTTACTCCTCCTTTCTAGTAGCTTTGTGTCAGATGGAAACAGAAAGCCTTATTCACCCATTTTACAAGAGAGACAACAGGCCCAGGCCTTGGTCACCTGGGAAGTATGTAGATCTGACTATCTATCAGCTTTACATCTTACTGTTTCCCTTGTGAAAAGCTCAGCCTGAGGGGCTACTCACTGAAAAAGTTGGCAGTTCAAACACACCAGCCACTTCATAGGAGACGATGTGGCTGGCTGTTACTGTAGAGATTTAGTCTCAGAAACCTTATAGAGGGTTACTTTGAATCTGAATGGACTCAGTGACAGTGGGTTTGACTGGGACTAACTGTATTCTCAGTACCTTACTTATTCTACTCATTCGCCAGCTGACAGTTTTAGCCATCTGCTATATCCCGAGTACTTGTCAGTCGTTACTGTTCAATAACACTTTCTCTTTCGGTTTTCCTCTCTCCAACAGGACCACACGCTCCAGAAAAGAGTCTAACCCATTCTTACCCTGCACTTTGCATAGTATTTTTAACCATTTAATACAAAAACATTTCAGAGAAATTGCTAAGAGAGTCCTAACCATCTAACCCATTGGATCACATATTGGCAGTATGTCCAAGGAACAGATGTTCCTATTCAAATCCGTGAAACTGGAAACACTGAAAAACAACAGTCCTGACATTGATTGATAGGGAGATTGACCAGCTCAGACTGTTGAAGTAAACGCAACTATAAAATAGATTTGTACGCATGGAATCTTTACATTTTGGTTTCAAAGGTTCTCAAACGTAGTAACGTCACTTGACCCAGATCCTAATGCTTGCTTGATGTACTCTTTAATATTTCTTTATCAAATTGCAGCTCTGTACATTTGAATTTCACGCTAAAAACCTCTCCTTCCTGAGAAAACAGCACCTCTGGGGGACTTTATAGATATTTTTAGTCTGTTCCCCAGTGTTTCAGCACTCCACTGCTAACCAAAAGGTCAGCAGCTCCACAGGAGAAAAGACCGGGCAATCTGCTTCTGTAGAGATGACCCAACCCAACCCAGACCCATAGTGGCCCTACCGGGCAGACCAGAATCTTTACAGACACTGACTGCCTCATAGTTCTCCCTTGCAGTGATGAGTGGGTTCGAACCGCAACCTTTCTGCTAGTAGCCAAGCACTTAACCACTGCACTACCAAGACTCTGAAGATGAACCATTGCCATCAAGTTGATTCTGACTCCCAGCGACCCTGTAGGGTTTCCAAGACTATAGTCTGTACGGAAGCAGACTTCATTTTTCTCCCTTAGAGTAGCTGGTTTGAACCCACCAGTTCTACTCTGTCCTACAGCTGAGCACTTAACCACTGTCTCAACAAGACTGCTTTAAAGATTTACAGCCTGGGAAACACTATGGGCCAGTTCTACTGTGTCCTATAGGGTCACTGAGAGTCAGAATCACCTTGATGGTTAACGGTTAATGTTCACAGATTAATCTTGTTGGTGAGGTGGTTAGGCACTGGGCTGTTAATTTTACAGAACAAGACGGCCTCTTTCTCCCATAGAGCTGGTGATGAGTTCAGACCACCCAGTTAGCAGCTGTGCACTTAACCAATGTGCCACCAAGACTCATCAAGATTTACAGGCCAGGAAACCCTGTGGGCAGTTCCCCCTCTGTCCAACAGCGTCACTGGGAGTCGGAACTAACAGTACTGGGCATGTGTTTGTGTTTTGCTTCAAGAACCCAGTAGACAAAGCAGGATTGCAGAGCGTCGTGTCCGCTGTATGAGATGCCTGCGTACATTGACTGAATCCCTTAGGTCACAGCTGAGCCATCCTCATGATTCACTTGATAAAAACCTTGTCTCAGGACCTGCAGTGTCTGTCTGTCCTCTTGAGAACAACCACATCTGACTTCCACACTGTCTATCTCGTTCCTCTGACCCAGGTCCCGAATGCAGACCCACTTCCCCTATGGGGGTCTCGACTTTATTTCGTCTCCCCACATGGCTGACCAAAACACACATGGCGCCACTGGGCCTCAGGCTGTGGTACACGCTGACGTTCTCGCTGTTCCGAGGAATAGCTGTTACTCCGGTCCAGACAGCAGGCAGGAAGGACGGCCATGCTCTGCTCTCACTGGCTGAGAGTGAACTTGAGGAGCAGTTTGTGAAAGGACACGGTCCAGGGGGCCAAGCAACCAACAAAACAAGCAACTGTGTGGTGCTGAAGCACATCCCCTCTGGCATCGTTGTAAAGGTAGGGGAGAGGAAGATGGTCGGGGAAAGGAGGGGGTCCCGTCCAGATACTTCTATGTGTAGATTCTGGAGCCAGACTGAGCTTTGTGACAAGGTACTTAACCTCTCTGGGCTTCAGTTTTCCCTTGTGTAAAACTGGATTAATGGGACTCATAGAAAGAGGGATTGAATGCTGGTGGCCAGGAGGCAGGCATGTAGAATGTGCCCTTTGGTTGTTTATTACATATTCCTAAGTGTTTTTGTGGACGTCTCCCCAAACCCCACCCTCAACAACAACAAAAAACAAGGAATGGAAGTAAATACTGTTGAGTGATGATGCACGGAGGAGGCTAATCACTGCAATGAAAGGATGATACAAAGCCATTGTTCTCCCATGTAAACTATCACTCAGTTTACAATAAAAAAAATTTTTTTTAATAAATTTTTTTTTAATTGGATTAAAGGTACCTGCTTCACAGAGGCTTTGTGAGGACTAAGTCAGTTACTAACATGTGTAAACGTCTTAGAAAGGAGCCCTCGTGGCATAACAGCTAAGCCCTGGCTGCTAACAGAAAGGTCAGCAGTTCAGAGATACCCAGAATGAATCTGTAAAGATTACTGTCCAGAAAAAAACACACGGAGCTGTTTTCACTGTGTCGCATGCTGTTACTAAGAAGAGTCCAAATCAACTCAGCAAAGGCCCCCAACTCAATACCACCACCACACATTAGCGGGAATTGCTGGGTGAGGGCTGGTGGCCAAGTCAACTACTCACTCTGCTTGAGACCACCCTGTACTAGCCTGTTCTAGGCAGTAGAGGGCACTGTAGAGCTCATCCCAGGCGCCGAGCCCCTCCTCCAGCCTTTACCAGGAGGTGATGTAGATAAGGCACCCAGCTGCTTGCTAACCACAAGGTCAGCAGTTCAAACCTGCCAGTCACTCTGAGGGAGGCAGATTAAACTGGTCCCATAAAGATTTATAGTATCCAAAACCCTATGTAGAGAATCCACATGGCGGCAGTGGGTTTGGTTGGTTCTGGTAAGCCCCCTCAGGTACAACCTCCTGACAGGCCTCAAGTGCTGCAGAGCCAGAGTCCTACTGGCCTCCTTGAACTCAGGAAAGCAGTGGGTGAGAAAGGCAGACGCCCCCCCACAGCTCGCTTCTGCCAAGCCACTCCAGGCCCCGCTGGCTGCAGGGGGCGCTCTCAGCCCACTGACCAGCTGATCACCTTATGGATGGTCACGTCCTTCTCGTCTGTCCCCTCTTTTAAATGCCAATGACAGCTGCCTAGAGCAGCCTTCTTTATAGAAAAACAAATCTCTGATCCGCAGAGTACCAGCATCCAGGCAGTTCTGCACGTCTGAAGATTGGCATTGTGCCTGCGCCTTGGCCCTGGTGTCTATGCGACAAGCCCAGGCAGTGGAACTGCTGGTCCACTCTGTTGCACCTAAAAACAGCTCTGCTCCTGAAGGGGCAATCAGAAAAAGACAGACTTTTTGTACTCGAGAGACACTAATGGGGTCCTGGTGGGATGCTATAGGATAAGCACTGCATTGCTGCTAACCACGAGGTTGGCGGTTCAAACCCATCAGCTGCTCTTTGGAAATCCTATACAGGGTTGTTGTGATTTGGAACCGACTCGAAGCCACTCAACAGCAGCAGTGGTACTAGTAACGAGTACTAGTGGCACATGGGTAAGCACTCAGCTGCCAAGAAAGATGATGGTTCAAACCTATCCAGGAGCTCTTGAGGAAGAAAAAAACCTGGCAATGTTTTCCCATAAAGACGACAGCCTAGAAAACTCCATGGATCCGTGCTCCTCTGTCACATGGGGTCACTGTGAGTCCAAATCAATAAATGTCCCCAACAACAACACTAAAAGTAATGGGACATATGGAAACATGAGATGGGCACAGTTCAAAACACCTTCCCATGTGTTAACTCTCAATCCTCCAACTTCATTATCCATTCCTATCCCCATGGTACAGATGAGGAATCTTAGGCATAGAAAAGTCCAGCAACTTGCCCAAGGTCACACAGCTACAGGACTTGACCCAGCCAAGCCCTAAGTTCATCTTCTTAACAGCTGTACAAGGGGGCTTCAACACATTTGTGGAAAAATTCCAGTATCTTTCAGTTCCATTTTTCCATGAACTTTCTGGAGTCCCCTTGTACAGCTGTTTAATTTCATTCATTCGTTTTCTTCTTTTCCTGCCAAGAGCATATCAAATAAAACCTCAATCACTTTTCCTTTCCTCTGGGAAGGGAGGAGAAATAAAAATGAGAAGAAAAAATTCTTACTCACATGCTAAAATAAAATTCTGAACCTGACATGGTTCATTTGTCACTTAACCCATTTTATAGAACCTAACTCCAAATTAGCTTTTAGGACTATTCTCCCATCCTAATTTCACAGAGCTTCTGTTAGCAAGAGACGTCTTTTCTCAATCTCTCTGATAGCTGCAAGGCCCGAGTCCATAATGATTCAGGTGTTCCCTGAAGAATGTTCCGGCTAACTCTGTCCCGCTCTCTTCTGTCCGGCAGAATATTGGCCTTATAAATGGTACATGCAGAGCACTTGTGCCCTGAATACAAACTAGATCTGTCACTCAATGTTTTCAGAAGTATTTGGGAGTTTTAAATTATCTGAAGTCCTGGTGTGGCACTGCAGGATAAGCACTGGACTGCTAACCACAAGTTGGCAGTTCAAACCCATCAGCCACTCCTTGGAAACCCTATACAGAATCACTGTGAGTTGGAACCGATTTGATGGCTCAACGTCATTGCTTCTAATGTCCCCTTATTGGCACCACCAGTTTGTGCTTGACTGAGTGGTGGTGTCTTGGAGTCACTTCTGTCTCTTAGCAGCACTATAGAGGGTTTCCGAGGCTTCAAATCTTTACGGGAGCAGAAAGCCTCCTTTCTCCTGTGAAGCAACTGGTGGATTTGAATTGCTGACCTTGCGATTACCCACCAAACGTGTAACCGTCTACTAACCTAAAGGAGTTGTTGGTCCTATCTCACCCAGCGGCACCACAGAAGAAAAACCTGGCTATCTCCTTCCATAAAGACAACAGGCAAGCAAACCCTAAGAGTCGTTCTACTCTGTAACATGTGAGATCACCGGGAGTCAGAATCGACTCCAGGAGAACAGGGTTGACTTTTTGGTGTGGGGATGACTGCTTCTAAGCAAACAAGGATACTACTATTAATTATAAAACAGCCATGAAAGCCACATAATACAGTTTTGGGGACAGGACCAGGTAGCAGAAAAGGCAGGAAAGGGTCTGTACTTGGTTTTGTCACAGACTGAGGGGCCCATCAATAAGGAGCTTTGCCTCTGGGCCTGTTGATTTAAGAAAAAAGGTCGAATCTAAGGAGGGTTTCTAAGACTCCTTTACCTCCCAACACACATGGTTTTTACTTTATAAAAAACCCTTTCTTACAGTGTCATCAGACAAGATCCACTGATCAAAACCGAAAACTAGCACGGAAAATACTGCAGGAGAAAGTGGACATTTTCTACAATGGGGAAAACAGTCTGGTTTATAAAGAAAAACGAGAGGCAGAGAGGAAAAAGCAAGAGAGGAAAAAAAGAGCGAAGGAAACCCTGGAGAAAAAGAAGCTCCTTAAAGAACGATGGGAAACAAGTAAAACCGTCCAGTGAGAAGGACTCCAGAGTCAAAGGGAAATCCACTCCATCCAGGCTCTCCCTCCATCGCCAGCATCAGGATAAAGCTTCTGAGGAAATATTTCAGACACACTTAAAAGATATTGTTTTCAAAACACTACACTAGTAAGTAGGACTGTTCGTCCCGGGAATAAAACTGTAAACACAAGCGATTACTGTTACTTTTGCAGGGGGTGACCTTGGATTTGGCACATAAGAGGGGCCTCTGGGGTTAACTGGCAAAGTGCTCTCTCAACCAGAGAGGTGGTCGGAAAGGTGTTCACCTTAAACACTTTTATAGAGGAGACAAGTATCTGTGAATGTGTGTATCTGTTTTTTTTATATTACTCCTGTTAGGTGCCGTCGAGTCAGTGTTGACTCTTAGCAACCCGTGTAGCACAGGAGACTTCCAAGGCTATACTCTAGAGTTTCAGGAAACACAGTCAGAATGATCCCAAGATGGATGAATGGCGAGATACTGTCTCGTATACTTTGGATGTTACCAGGAGGGACCAGCCCCTAGAGAAAGGTAATCATGTTTGATAAAGTAGAGGGCGAACGAAAGAGGAAGACCCTTCACACGATAGACTGACAGTGGCAGCAATGGGCTCAAACACGGGAAGGCGCAGAACCAGGCACCGTTTCATTCTGCTGTACATGGATCACTATAAAGTGAAACCGCTTCAGTGGCGCCTAACAAAAGTCTGAAGGGAGCAGATCGCTAGGTCTCTACTGCAAAGTCACTAGGTGGGTTTGAACCACCAACCTTCCAGTTAGCACCGAGCACTTAACCATTTTACCACCAGGTCTACTTGTTTTATTCTAAAAGATTAGAAATACAAATAATTTTGGGAAGGACAGCTCAGGTTCATTTTTGTAGACAACTGTAGACCTGCATCAAACTTGAAAAGTGTTTAGTGACAGTTTATCATTGCTTGGTGGCCCCTGGCCTACATACCATGTGTGTTAGCTTAGAGTCAACAGGATAAGAAAACAAGGTGGTGAAAGGTTTAAAAGTTAGTAAGTTACTTTTCAATTTACTCCATTAGCTAATAGAGGCTATGTTGCCAAGTAACCTCTCTGATGAAGGAATGCATACATCATTCCCTGGATGTTGATTTGAAAATAGATTTATAAGGGATGAGGTCCTGAAACCTACTTTGTTTGCAAATGTGCTTGATACCAGGAATCGGCTGGATTTACCAATGTGTTACAAATAAATACCTATTGTGAATTGAACTGTACTCCAAAAAATCTTGTCACCTTTGCTGGTGGTTTGGCAGTTATGTAATGATGTCCTGATGTGACACTTTAGGATAAGCACTGGACTGCTAACCTCAAGGTCAGCAGTTGAAACCCACCAGCCGTTCCTTGGAAACACTACAGGGTCACCATGAGTTGCAACCAACTTAACAAGTCATCCCCCCCAAGATGTGATTAGTCATTCAGCTGTTAAGGGATCACCTTGGGTCACAGCCCTGATGTGACATGAGGGGAGCTTCCCTGGGGTGTGGCCTTTGTCACCTGTATCTTACAAGAGATCAAAGGAGAGGGATCTGGCTGCCACCGAGAAAGGGGCTGGGAGAGGAATACATCCTGGGGGTCCCTGCACTTCAGAACCTTCTAAACCTGAGTAAATTTAACCCCAAGACGCTTGGAGATCCCCCCAGGGATGCCAGGCCACATATTGAAAGGAGAGACAAAAACCTTCCCTTGGAGCTGAGAGGGAAAGCATTTCCCTAGAGCCAGCCCCCTGAATTCAGACTGGTAGCAGACTGAGCTATGAGAACACATTGGGTTGTTAAGAGCCATCTCCTTGCGGTGGTGTCAGAGCGGCACTAGAGAACTGAGACCATCCAGTGGAGGAGGGGGCAGGGATATGGCGATCACGCCTGAACAAGGAGAGATGACCACAGGGAAGTGAGAAGGCCACTGTCACTGGGCCCGCCTCTTTTCTGCAGGAATAACCAGGTCCAGAACACACAAAGGGGCTTCAGAAAGCTCATGGGAAATGGCATTAAAACATAAAGGAATTTCCCCATGAACTTTCTGAAGGCCCCTCTTATGCCCAGTACATCCCACCAAACACACTGATCCATCAGGCTGCCTGTTGTACTCTTCTGGCCTGGGAGTGGCCTAAGCAAGACAGGCTCACTATCTGCGCCTCAGAAACCCTGTACAGGGTTGCTATGAGTTGGAACCAACTCGACAGCACTTAACAACAGCAAGCCAGACAGGGTTCTAGTACCTTTTGTCAGGGGGTTCATGACACTTCCCCACCCCAACTTAATACACAGAAGGCAGGCAAGTAACTGTGGATGCCATACAAGTCGCTGGTGGTAGTGGGAAGGGAGTGTTTGGAACAGGACACGCTCAGATGTCATGGTCTCCTTTCCTGTAAATTTAACCCTGAAGCTCTAACTGTCCATACCACAGCCCACAGGAGTCCTGGTGTGGCATGGTGGGTTAATGCGCTGGACTGCAAGGTCAGCAGTTCAAGCTCACCAACTGGTACAAGTGGATCTTGACCTATACAGGTCCCTGTGAGTCAGAACCAACTCAACAGCACGTACCAAACCCCGCCCATGGTAGCTATCAACCTACTCTGGTCTCTAAACATCTGCCTGGTGTAGATAATGTCCTACAGCAGAATCCTACAAGGTTGATCCTTTTAATGTCTGACTGCGTTCATTCAGCCTAATGTTTTCAGGGGTCATCCATGTCATAGCATGAGTCATGAACAAGCAGCTCAGTGTCAGACCGGCTGATGTTTTCATCTGTTCCTGGATACTTGGGTTGTTTCACCTTTTGGCCGTGAATAAACAATGAACACTGGCGTACAAGGATCTGAGTCCCTGCTTCCTTCTTGTACTTTTTGAAGGTTCTGTCATTTCCCACTCAAGATCCACTTGTACCAGTCTTCACACTTGGCCTGGCTGGGCCATTACCTCATGCCTGGAGAGCTGCTCACATCTCTCAGCTATAAAAGTCTACAGCCCTACCCACATAGCTCTCAGTACCTGGAGTTAGGGCATCAAGTGTAGATAAATTCCCTCCAATCCCTTTGGAAGGCACTACTGAAGTCCATTATATGTGTTCGCAACAAATGCAATGCAACGCGTTTCTCCCCAGCTTCAAGAGCAGAAAATTCCTCAGCTGAGCTCAGTGGCCACGTTACATGAAGATTCCTATGTTGTGGTTATGTTCCAAATCATAGCAACCCTATGCACAATAGAACAAATCACCCAAGATGTGCTCATAGGATAAACAGCACTTAGAACTAAGGATCCCTGGTGATGCGGTGGTTAAAGGAACCAGCTGGAAATCAAAACTGTGATCAAACCCACTGGCCACTCTGTGGAAGCAAGATGTAGCAGTCTCCTTCCATAAATGTCTACAGCATCACAGACCACACAGAGTGACTACGATTTGGAATCAACACAACAGCCATCTATGGCTTTCGGTAAGAACCAGGAATGGCCTAACCAAGCTCTCCAGCAGACACCGTCAGAAATAGTACTTCCCTTCTACTTCCAACAGATGCTTGTTTGCTGAAGTCAGAACATACTTTAAATACCTCTTCACTTTACCCCCACCTTTTGACTAGGACCAACAGTGCCACCACATCATCATGTAAAAACATCATGTAAAGAACAAGCAAGTGGCTTGCCCAGGAGACATCAGGCCAAGTGGTCGGGTCCCCTCAGGGCAAACCCCCTTCTTCCAAGACTAAGACTCAATGGGAATACACGCTTTGATTGGTGACCATGTTCCTCACCATTAAGGGGAAATGAGAAACAGCAATGAAGCTGCGAGCTAAGCCCTACAACATTCAGTAGACTCCTGTGAACCTGGGTGGAGACCTGGTCGGCCAGCACTATTGCAAGACTTGGGGACTCTTGGGCCCAGAGTCAGTGACATAGCCACAGAGGACTAGAGTGGAGAGTGAAGCATCCAGCTGATAAGAAGAGAGGGCATATGCACAAGAA